TTATAGGGTAATACGCCCGCGCGCGATCCAAAAGCGGGGAACACATAGGTTTGTCGCGTCAAAGGGATCTGTTGCCGAGTGATCTCCTTCTCAATAATACCTCCATGGTTTTAACAAGGTAATTCAACAAAAGGACGCACATCTCGGGACATAGATGTGTATAAGAGACAGATCTCTATGGTATAAGTGCATGTCGTTGGCAAGTTGTTGCTAACGAAAAAATGTGAATTATAGGGTAATACGCCCGCGCGCGATCCAAAAGCGGGGAACACATAGGTTTGTCGCGTCAAAGGGATCTGTTGCCGAGTGATCTCCTTCTCAATAATACCTCCATGCTTTAAATAAGTTATATTCCTTATCCACTTCCATTTTCTTGATTTTACAGTTAGTACCTCATCACTCTTTATCTACTGGATATTTCAATTACTTTTTTTTTTTTTTTTTTTTTTTTTTTTTTTTTTTTTTAAACACCATGAATGAGAAGACATTTACGATATACAAACATATACTGGATTGAGCAACATGGTTTAAATTATAGCCTCTGTTGATCTGGGGGCTGTACTACTACTATGTCTTAAGACAAAGTCGAGAGGTATAGTGCAGCCTCTGGCTATAATTTTAATTATGATCTAATTAATATCCTAGTAAATATTTGTTAAATATTGTACAATGTGTTGCAGTGTTGTGGTTTTTTTTTTTTTTTTCTTAACAATTTTGCCTATTATATATATGTACCACACATTTTTCCATATTAAAAATGAAAAAATTGTTTTCTTGGTTGCCTGATGTACTGGCATTGACGTTTATCCAGATTTATAGATTCACTTTGACCCCCTCATTGAGTATTTTTTCTCAGCGCCATATTGCAGTACCATAGTACCAGGGTTCATCCCCTGTTGCAAAAGTATAACATTATAAATCCTGAAAATCTTCTGTGATAAAAATTCAGAGAAGAAAGTAAAATACATACTCCAAGTTGAAATGCACGCCATCGTGTTGGGATGGCGTTCATTTCAATACTTGGAGTATTTATTATACTTTCTTATCTGAGGTTAATCAGCAGACCTTTCGGTTTTTAAAAATTCAGAGATGTTGGAATACGTGCCATATCTTCTTCTGTAACTGGAATTTTTTGTGCTCAACTTTGCCCGTTCATACCTCTTTTATAGTGTGGCAGACAACGACTGAAACACTCTGCAAGGAAAAAACACAAAGACTATTGACTGGCTATTAGGGCCTGGCTAGAACTATTGCCCAACTTTCAACCAATCAGCTGTCTGGAATGTGTACTGTAGTCAGTGCATAATATACAGTATTATGCACCACTTGCTACATAATAACTTTATTTTATTTTAAATCTTGTAATTGATTTTATAGCAAACCATTTGACGCAGCCATGTATTCAACTAAAGTGTGAGCTGAAATGTGAATTCATTCAGGCTTGTGGAGATCGGTCATTGAGGCAGAGTTGGGGGGGGGGGATTTTGATAATATCTATCATCTAAATCACTAGGTAAGTAATAATTTAGAATATGTTTGCCTGCTAAGAGAATAGAGAAACTTCATGGGTCACAATCTAGAATTTTTCAGTGGACTCTTTTCTGTAAATTCATTACATATGGCCCGTTCGAGCAAAGAACGCCCAAACGTATTCTGTTTATTTCACCGGGTAATCGCGCTGAGCACTCAGCGGGTGGTCGACTGTTCGAGCAAGTTTTAGCTCACGGTAAATATGTGTAACGAAACTACTCCTGAAGTAAATTTCAACTTATCCCATGGTCAACAACCCATTCTTTGTTTACTTGCTACTGCTGCTATAACCATGGAGGGTCTACTTTATTCTTCTATGTTATAACAGGCCCACGTACACACAGCGCTGAACTGTGGAACAATAATGTAGTTCAGTAACTTATAATGGGAGTTTTTAGTTTACAATCTGTACATAGGCTAGTTTATTCAAGTTTATTTCTCCGAATAATGGCAAATCTACAAATCGATCGCGTGTTATGCTACTAAATTTAGATTTCGTCGTGCATTTGTGGGGAGGCGAAGGAGAGCTGCAACTACGCCTGGGCCGTAACCTGTTGAATTTCGCGCTGGGCTGTGGATAAAACTTTTGGACAAACACTTAAGGTTGATTTATCATCGCCTCCGGCTCCATGGTCATTCCATACACGGTATTCTACCCAGCAATTTGGTGGTCAAAATTATCGTGGATAATCCAGATGGTAAAGTAATTAGACTAATGTCCGAGCGGTTTTAGAAACTGTGTACCGGTGAATTAACTGGTAAATTGCACGGATATTTTTTCGCTTGAACAGGCCCATAGACATTAATTTCTATGGGTTCTGAGTATAGATACCCAGGCATTCTTTCATAATCCAAAGCCCGGTTACACACTGCACCAGTTATTAGACTGCCATTGAATATCAGCGGATGGCATCTGTCACTGAGCTAACATCCTGTACAATTCTCATACAATGCTGTGTGTACTCGCCATATATCTTGGGGAGATGCCTTATTGGTGACTGTAAAATGGTCAGAACCAGGCTAATTTCTGCCTATTAATTGAGTGTTTGAAGTGTGTTAATTATAGAAAGTAACACAATTTCCACATGGCCTAGAGTATTAGCTATTTTAAGTTAGTGGTGATGTAATTTTCATTTTCACATAAATTTTCTACCTATCTTGATTACTCTACATGCATATTGCAGAGATATATAAGTGCGAACTGAAAAGAAATAATATTGTGTTATTAAATCTATTTTAGTGTGAAAGTTTGTGAAGCTCAACATTTGGAGTAATATTATGCAAGGATGATGGAAACAGGTAAAATATTGATAATGATAGTTGGTAATATATAGGCCTGCAGTGCTATTTCACACACATAGTCATCATGCACAAAAGTAATCACAGAGTGGTGCTTCATTATCATAACTCATTAATAAATGCAAAATTCAGCCCCAGCATCTTTCCAAGCTGTGCATACATACAGTACATTAAACATAGTGTAATATGTATTCTACATGTTTTCAAATTATTGCTTTAATAATACAACCATTTGCATGATAAATAAATCCTGGATTAATCATAATTGAAGATTTTTAGTTATTTTAAAGCCTGATGTATACATTTATGTTGTTCTGGCCCTAAAAACTAGACTAGGAAATAACCAGAATGTTGTTCGGGGAGAGTTTTTACTTCCAAGGAATGCTCTCTGGTATTCCTGGGACGTTTTGATCTATTTCCACCCCCCACCCCACCCAATCAACAAGTCTCGCTACTCGGCTGAAGTTTTCTATTAAATTTTTAACAGAATTTTAGAGTTTAAGGGTTTTATTTTAGTTAATCTTTTAGAAACTATTTTTTAAAATAGATTTTAATCAACTGCTTGTGACAGTATCTGATGCAATCGGCGTGAAAGGTGAAAAGTATGTAGACATGTTGAGGGTTCTGTACAAAGATCTTGCAGAGATAAAAACAGAATTGGAGGAAGCTAAATCTGCATTTGATTTATTCCAAATACTAAGAGTCGCTGATGTTTTGAAAGCAACAGACATTTCAATTTTATTTGAAACAATTGAAGTAACTGGATTAAAGTATTTGAAGGAGATAATTAAGACGTATGACACATATCCAGATGAAGTGAAGATAACTCGATTTTCAGCACATCGTCAACAGGTTGTTGCTCTGGGAAAAGACTTCTCTACCACAGATATTCAAAGGATTGGTTGGAAGTATGAAGTTCCAGATGACTTCTGTTCTAATCCATGGAAATTAATCACATTTCTTGAAAGTAATGGTATCATTTCCAAAGATAACTTGTCATCGTTTCTCATGAATTTGAAAAGAGTTGGTGAGTATGACAATTATTGTATTATTACTGTATTTGCAATACCAAATAATAATACTGTAATGTTGCAATCTATGGTATTAAATTAGGATACCACTGTTGGAGCCCGAGAAATGCTGATACAGTAAGTGGTAGAAACCTAAGTTCTTGATATTTTCTCACATTTCTTATAATAGACAGTAAATAGACATTTAGAGAACTAAACTACAGTATAAAATGATCACATCTAAACCTTGAATAACGAAAATGCATTACTGAATTATTTTCAATATTTTTGTAACCTAGCTTTACTCTGAAGCAATAGTTAGTTTTTAACAAATACTATTATAGAAAGAAATACACAAACATCAAAATTAAGTTAACATTTCAATTAAAATAATAGTTTATTATTGTAGTAAATAATAGCAAAAATGCATCACTTGAATCATTTTAATATGGATTTAAATGCTCCTTTATATCACAATAATTATTTTAAATATATTTGTATTTGATTTAGTCTCTGAAACAATAGATAATTTTTAGCAAATATCTATAAAGAAATACACAAACATAGAAAATATATACAGTACTGTATGTTAACTTGTCAAATAAAATGAAAGTTTATTATCATTGTAAATCATATAAGTTCAAGTAGTTAAACCAGTATTTTATTTAAGGTGCAAAACATTCATATTAAATACAGTTTTAGTTGGGTACTCAACTGCATCGGGAAATTACTTTCATCGATGCATCTGAATCCTGTTGAGTCTTTCCTTTGGTGTGGAACTTTTGTAGTAAGTACATGATTGCTTTCATTGCGGGCTATTTCAAAGGCATACTTTACGGTAGGGTTTATTGTTCTCTAGTGTTATACCTGTAGGCTAGTCTCAAAGTATGGCCAATATTAAAATGTAAACTGACAGAAATTCCGGTGCCTACTGTACATCTATCAGTTTATTATGTGTACAAAAAAACATTAGTAATTTTTGAAACCTATAGCTAAGCCATTCTCCAGAGTAGGAAATTTATGCTATGGTGTACATTGGTTATGCTGCTAATGCACAAATTGTCTATTTCCTCAATAGGTAATGAAAAACCATCAACATTAAAAAGACTAAAATTAGACAAAGGTATGTACTGAGTGCTGAATAAATGCTAATTATATTTAATGAATATCTATAATGGTTATAACTGTATATATAATTCACATGATATTTATTATATATGTAAGTATTCAGAAGTATTTCAAAGTTCATTTTATTTATAAAGTACAGTATACATTCCTGGCATAACATATAAAAAAAATATAAAATGAATCTTGTGGTACAAAAAATGAAAAATTAGTTAGTGACACATTTTATAAACGAATATAAGATTTATTTTGTTTTGGTCTTTGAATTATGTTTCTACAGTAGGTTGAGTAAAACCATCTTTATGCTGAGAAGTCTAAAAACAAACTACTATTGGTTTTCCTATCAATTCTGAAAAATAGCTTCAAAAACCATTACCTTAGGTAAATAAACTAAGAACTTTTGCTACTATGAAATATACAGTATATTAAACTTATCAGAAACAATAAAATCCAAATTTTGTCGAAACATCACTTCAATATATCAAATTAGCTGGCGTACCACAAGACCCATTTTGTAAACAACACCTCACATATTCTTTACATAATGTTAAGGTATTATGGAGTAGGAAGATTATGCTATGCTCTTCTGTAGCTGTGCTGCTAATGTACATATTTTCAATTTCCTCACTAGGTATTGGAGAAGCATCAGTATCAAAACGTCCAAAGTTAGACTACGGTATGTACTACAGTACGTGCTGAATAATTGCTTGTTATTTTTAAATAGTCAATATCTGTAATAATGTAACTGTATAATCAATGGATGGATATTAGTCAGTATAATTCATCTGATAATATGTATTTGTGATTTACTCAATTAATTTTGAGTGACTCTAAATAATGTTTTATAATGTATGTTATTTTAATACACAAAGTATTTCCAGAAATCAGTGCATGTGTATAATAATAATAATAATACATCAAAAGTAAGTTATTTAAAGATGTATTGTCCCATGCTAAATATTTAAAAAAATAATAAAAATATTTTTTTGAAATTAACTTGCCCACTTTGAAGTAACATAAGAGTTATCAACATAGAAATTAGTGTATTTAAAAAATGTCTACCCATCAGTTTACAGCGAAAAAATGATAGAAACACTTTTTTTTTTTTATTACTTTTATTATAATTAATTTGTTTAAAAATCAGGGTACACATTTTTTTTAATTCAATAATTGTTATGCACAAGTTAATAATTTGTATGTAATTGCAATATGAGCAACTTATTTCAAAATTATTTTTTTATGATTTTTGACATTAGCAAGGGACAATACATCTTTAATCATCACTGTTATTGTAGGCTTGTTCCTCTACTATGCAAGCTTAGGCATCAGTGGGGTGGGGATGATATCTGGGTGATTAAAATTATTGATAAAGCAAAGAGTATCTTTACAAATAGTTCCCATCAACTAAACCTAGTATGTTGATCTTTTGAAACATTCAAATTAATATCGTAATTTAATCTAAAAATCAGAAATTTATATATTTTTGGCGTCACTGTTAAAAAAAATCAAAACAAAAATATGGATTGTAAATGATAATTGTACTCAAAATGAATATATTGCACACTATGATTTTGCTCATAATGCCCAATGATTCATTCTCTTTACAGACAAGTCAGGACAATCAGAACAGCCACAAAAGTCAAGGGCAGATGAAGGTGTGTTTATTTAATAGCAGATTATATTGACATTTTAAGTACATCCTAACAAAAATTAAATTATACATAGCCAAGTTATAGAGTAGTTACATATTGCACACTGGAAAGTAGTTGAGTTACGAGCTTCACAATACCGGTACTGTTACAAATGTACAGTAGATGACAGGTGTATAAATTAATTCCTATATCAAAATTGGCATTAGCATATCAATCAAATTAACATATTGCAACTAAATGTTTAAATCATTAGAATTATACAATATTTCATCATCAGTTGCATCATAATATGAGGGGGAGGAAGTGGACAGCGGGGCCCAAAGCATCAGGTGTCTGTTAGCATATTTTTAATTAAAAGAAAATTGTGTTCCCAGTCAACATTGGGAATTCTTAACATACTGTAGGTGATCCAACAAAATTTCCAATTCAAAAATGCTGTGATCACGAGATCACAAGTGGGCTTCCTCTTCTTCATCTCCCATACCCATCTCTGGACCTGACTAGGGCCAAGCATATCCTAGCCCTACTATAGCATAAGGTTGCTCACTTTGCTCAGAATTACAACAGGCTTGTATAGGGCTAATATTTTCCTCCTAGCCTAGAACCCTGACTCATGCATGATGTCACTGTTCTTGATACCGCCACCAACACCCCCTTCCCCTGCTTGTTCTCTCGCACCTCGCATTATCCACCCCCCCCCCCCCCCC